CCAAGATGCAGCAAATGGGAGCCTGGTCCTTTTCCCAGAAACTTCTGGCAAAGTCTGCATTCAGGGTGAGGATTGGCGGGGAGGGAAGTGGCGGACAGGCCATTGACCTTCATCACCCATCATTGTTTAAAGTTAATTTATTTGAGAGAGAAAGAGAGCAAGTGTACAAGTTAGGGAGGGGCACAGAGAGAGAGAGAGAGAGAGAGAGAGAGGAAGAGAGAGAATTCCAAGCAGGAATGCAGAGCCCGATGTGGGGCCTGAACTCACAAAATGGGGAGATCACGACCTGAGCCAAAGTTGGACGCGTAACCCACTGAGCCACCCAGGCGTCCCGCCCATCACTGTTTAATACAGCTACTTTGTCCTGGTGACTCTGGGTCCCACAAGAATCCCTGTCAGGACCCCTCTCCACTCTTCTTCCGTTTTCCTATTTTTATTTGTACTGGCCTGACTCAGAGTCTGAGCTCTGACTCGCCGCCTACCTCCACAACTCCCTGTCCCAATCCACAATATTGTCTTTCTTTGCCTCTGGCCTCCTTTCTCCAGTTCCAATGGGCTGCCTAGTCTTTGATGAGTTGGTTTCTTGCACCCGGAGTGACCTTTTTTTTTTTTTTTTTTAAATATTTTTATTTATTTCTAGGAGAGAGAGAGACAGCGTGAGCGGGGGAGGGTCAGAGAGAGAGGGAGTCACAGACTGAAACAGGCTCCAGGCTCTGAGCTGGCAGTCAGCACAGAGCCCGACGCGGGGCTCGAACCCACGAACCACAAGATCACGACCCAAGCGAAAGTCGGACGCTTAACCGACTAGGCCACCCAGGCGCCCCACCGGAGTGACCTTTTTACATCCCTTCTGGTTGGAACCCTTGACTCAAATGCTACCTCCTTCCTGAAGCCCTTCTGTGGGCCTTTGTCATAGATTTTGTTATTGATTAACAGCTCCACTGGGCTCCCACTGCATAGTGTCCCCCTCCCCCCATGAATGAGCAATTCATGTCAACCTAGAACCTCTGAACGTGACCTCCGTTGGAAATAAGGTTTTTGGAGATGTGATCCTTTAAGGGTCATTCATTCCTGGTCGAGGCTTCATTACACATTGACTGGTATCGTTATACGGAGAGGAGGGGACATAGAGACAGAGACAGAGGGGGGAAGGCCACATGAGGGGACGAGATCCAGCCAGGAACGCCAGGAGCCACAGGAGCAGTAAGAGGTAAGGAAGGAGTCTCCCGTAGCGTCCTCCAAGGGAGTGGGGCCCTGCAGATCCGTTCTGGCGGCCAGACGAAACGAATACACACTGTAATTTGTGCCTTGACTCGAAACACCTAGCCCTGTCTCTGGGTCTTTCTTCATCTCTGTTGTGCCCACCGCCTCTCCAGGCTTAGAGCTATACCAACCAGCTGACAGACACCTCAGGCAGGTTCGGTGAACTTGACGGTCATCATGGCATAGATGGGCTCGCGCCTGCCCTAGCGCCCGTCAGAGAAGGATAAGGGACTTGCTGAATGGCCGGGGGGATTGGATTCACGAATCCACATAAAGGGCTAGCTCCTGGCTCGCTGCTTGAGGAACAAGGCTGTCGACCCACATGCTGTGAACTCGGTAATAGCAAAGCGATGTAACTCCAAGCCAGTTCACACTGAGTCCTGGCTCCACCTCTCCTTCGTGGATGGATAAGGTCGTCTTTGTTTGCCCCTGGCTCCACGGGCCTGCAATCCCAGCCCGGGGCTCTCATCCAGCCGCTTGCCTCATATTGGAGCAAAATGTGGAAGAGCCACTGCAAATGCTTCCACACAAACAGTCCACTTCTCGTCCTCCCGGGGCCTGCTAAAACTCTGTCAAAGTCAAAGACGTCGGAGGCTGTGCCAGCTGACTAGCTAGCCGGCCGGGAGCCTTGAGGGGAAGAGGGATGCGCCCAAGCTCTGTGAATGCTTTCATGGAAGGAATTCCGGGGGAGCACAGAAAATTTAAAAAAGGAGAGTAGTGGGAATAACCCAGTAGGAGCCTTCCGTTTGGGGAGCCTCACCATGGCCACCCCTGCCTTGGGTAACCTCAAGATGACATGGGTAAGAACTGATGTTTTCAGGTGAGGAACCTTCCAACTCCTAGAGCCTTTGTGTCCCTTTAAGAAAAACCCTTGTTTGGGGGCGCCTGGGTGGCTTAGTCGGTTAAGCGTCCGACTTTCGCTTCGGTCATGATCTCGCGGTTCGTGGGTTCGAGCCCCGCGTCGGGCTCTGTGCTGACAGCCAGCTCAGAGCCTGGNTGGGTTCGAGCCCCGCGTCGGGCTCTGTGCTGACTGCCAGCTCAGAGCCTGGAGCCTGCTTCAGTCTGTGACTCCCTCTCTCTCTGACCCTCCCCTGCTCACGTTGTCTCTCTCTCTCTCCTAGAAATAAGTAAAACATTAAAAAAAAAAAAAAAAAGAAAAACCCTTGTTTGGGTCACGTTTGTAGCCTGAGACACACTTCCACCCACAAATATTGCCAAAGATCATGATGAGAAACGGGGTTGCCACTCTTTCCCAAAGGTAAAGAGACTTCTCTTCTGGATATGCCACCTGTTGGCAGAAGGGCTTTCTTCCTTCTTTCGCTTTTGGGGGCCTTCCCCCTCCAGATCCGACCCCGCCCAGATCCCGCCCAAATCCGGGTTGGAAGGGCTCTCCGATGCAGCCCGTACTTCCGTACCGCTGCCGCCAGGGAGGAGAAAGGCAGTCATCTCTAGCGCAAGCAAGTTCACCTGTCTCCCATCACTGCAGGCTGCAAGGGGGTGCACCCTCCCCAGCTCTCTGCAGCCACTCCAGGACCACCCTGAAAGCCCACAGTTCACCCACCCCATCCGGCAGGCTCCTGTAAATTCCCCACTGCACAACACCCTTTGCTCCGAAGCCCAACAGGTCCCCCAGACACTCCTGGGCTGGGGATTGTCCCAGGGCCCTCTCTCACTGGCCCCAGACAGACTCAGGCAGATTCCAAATTCCCCACCATGGCGGCAAGTGGAGGGCTGGTTAAGAAACATCTCTAGTAATTGACCAGACAGTTAGGAGTTAGAGGAGGCATCCCCGTTCATCTTGAAGGGGCTGATGACTAAACCTAAGTATGAACGTCCCTGGAAGTCTCACAGGCCCCCACGGATCCTGCTTCTGGTGACTTGATACCAATTTAAGACTCATTTCGGATTGGCCCTGCGTTTATTCCCTGGGAGAAAATGGCCATTCCAAGTAGGGCGAGAGGGACCGGGCTCCCAGTGGATGAGCCTGTGGGGTGCCACTGCTCTATTTCACCGCCTCCCCCTCCCATGCCATATACTTCTTTAATTTAGGGTTGTTTATACTAGTCAAGTTTTTCCAGATTGACAAAAAGAGTTCTTCGTAAGCCTACTGCAGCCAGTTACAAAAGCAGTAAAAAGAGACCAGGACTTGGGCCAGCTGGAAGAGTCTGAAGAAAGTTTCTGCGGGATGCAGACAGCTAAGGAATGACAATCACACGCCACTGTCCCAAACCCCACATGTCCCCACAAGGACACCTTCATCTGCCATTCCGGTCCCCTCCCCCGTCCCCCACCCCTCCACAAAGCGCTCTGGGAGACTTTCGATGGGCATCACCCCAGGGCAGTGAAACTGCTGAGTACAACTCTTACTTCTCCTTTTTCAGTGCGTCCAAGGGTTAAAAACACTTCCGAACTACTCTTCCAACTGCAAGGTCAAGCAGCTGTCCAAACCACCCAAGGAGAAGCAGGAGCCAGGGACAGCCAACTCCAGCTAGCTGGGCCACCACGGTCCTCCCCTCCCCCACGCGGGCCCGGCAGGGGAAGAGTTAATCGGCCATCAGCTTTGGCCAATAGTTCAGGCTCCAAAGTTCAGTCCCAGTCTGAGCCACCCCGGAGGAATTGTAAATCTCAGGGCAGTATTTAACAAAACAAAAGCAACCTGGAATTACAAGCAGGTTTGGTTTTCTACAGTACATATTTACTTAATCCCCTAGGTATGTGGCTCCATGTCAGATCAGCTGGCTTTGCTGGCCCTTCCCCCCCCCCCGCCCCCCCTTGCTCTCAACAGTCGAAGTTTCAAACTAATTCCCTTGTTTTTGCTCTTCCTCCTCACAGGGCCGGCTCGAGACAGTCTGGCCTGCCAGCCTCCAATCTCTCTCTCTCTCCTTTGCTCTAGTCACCGGGTGAGTCAGCCTGGCTTGGGTCAGAGTTGGGTGACAGCCGGCTCACCCTCCCCAACTCCCAGGCACCAGGTCTGGGAAAACCAGAGGGAAGAGATGCTGTAACCAACCAAAAAGCTAAAGACAGCCCTGGGGAGGGGGAGGGCCCTCCCCACAGTGCCACCGCCCCATTTACTGGGGAGGGATGCCCTCTGGGGCTGTATCTGGGGGGAGGGGGCAGCGGCTGAAGGTGAGAACAAGGGCTCTTTATGGGCTGCCGGTTACCCGTGTTCCCCTCTTTCTAGATTTCCAAACACCTGGGTGTGGGAGTGCCTGTCAGGCCTGGCTAGGCATCCAAGACCGCTCCCCGCTTTCAAACCCGAACCAAGTACCCCTCTCTTCGTGCCTCCATAGCCGCAGCCGCCCAGGTTGGGGCTGGGAAGCGGGTTGCCAAGGAAAATACGAAGCCAGCTAGCAGGCGGCTCCCAGCTCTACCCAGGAGCGCACACACCCTGCGCGCACCAGGGTGGCGGCATCGAGGGCAAGAAACACAACACCTTCCTTCGCGAGGGAGGAACGTGGAAAATGGGTGGGGCTCCTAAGTTTCGGGGAGGGGGGGAACGGCCGACCGGCCCCCCCCCCCCCCCGATCCCAAAGGAGCGGACCAGCTCCGGACCTGCCAAAAAAAGGCAGTCTGGTGCCCGGGAAAATGTACGAGGTGAAACCGACTAGCTCAGCACTCGCGGGTGGCGCCCAGGGTGGGGTGGCGGGCGACTCCGCCGCGCGCGGGTTCCGGCGGCCGCGGCAGGTGGGGCGCCCCTCGCCTCGGCCCCCAACCCCAGGAGTCCCGGCGCCCCGTACCTTTCTGGCGCCGCGTTCTGCGAACTCGCGAGCGAGCTGGCGCCCGATGCCTCTCCCGCCGCCGGTGATGAGCACGTTCTCACGCGACAGGTCCCGGAGCTTGGCGGGCAGCACCCGTCCGACGGCTGCTTTGGCCACCAGATAGATCATCTGCAGAGGGAACACCACCAGCGCGCCCAGCCATTTCCACACCATCCTCCGCGCGGCGGAGCCAGGCAGGGGGGCGAACCTCCCCGGACCGAGCAAAAACAGGAATTAAAAAAGAAAACACCCCGAACAATAATAAATAAACCGAATGAAGGGGGAGAGAGGCGTCCCACCTGGCCACTCTTGAAATCACCTCTTCCCAAAAGCAAAGCACCGGGTGAAGGGAAAAAAAAAAAAAAAAAACACACAGAGAAAGAAAAAGAAAAAAGAAAGAGGGGAAAAAAAAAAAGATAAATCCTCCTCGGAGGAGAAAAAGCGTCTGAGAAGGTTGGGACTGTGAGAGGGCTGGAGGGGAAGCCGGAGGTGGAAAGTTCTAACAAGAAGTTTCTTGCCCCAGCAGTCGTTTCGGCTGGGGAATTCTCAGGTAATGTTTACAGGCTGACAGAGGAGTTTAGGCAGGGGAAAAAAAAGGCACCAACCACAGCGCGCACCCTGCTACAGTCCCGCGGTTTCAAAGTGCAAGATTTAAAAAAAAAAAAAAAAAAGGCCGTTTCCAAATTGTAGCGCCCCCCCCCACCCCTTCTCCAGGAAAGAAAAAAAAAAAGTGGTGGTGGGGGGGAGAGCTTGGAGCTCCCAATTTCAGCCCGCGAAAGTCTCCCGACTCATTGCTATTCTTGGGCTCAGGAAATTGCTTAAACGCGATCTGATTGCCAGCAACGTGCAGGAGAAGTGGGGGGTCCCGGTGTCAGTTTCTCTACGTGCATGGCTCGCCCTCGCGCGCGCTCGCTGTCTCCGGCTCTCTCCCTCCCGCTCCCAGCAGAGGCCGGGAGTTGCCGCTCGATCCGGCTCCCTTTCTCTCCCCCGTTAGCATTTATTGCCTTCTTTTTGTCCTTTCCAACTTGGAGAGGGCCCGGGTGCCGAGCGCGTGTGGATCGGACGCCCTCGTCAGCGCCGCCTTATTCACTCGCTCCCGGGGCAGCAGCGGCACGGAGCGAGAGGGCTGCCCTTCTTCCCCCCCCATTTTTTAATACCCCATTAAGTCTGATTGACAGTTAAAGTTGTTCGGAGGCTCCACTACCGTTCCTCCGAGTGGCTGCCGCGGGCTCCCCTCCCCCTGCGCCGTGCGGGGCGCGCGCGCGCGGGCGCGCACCCGGGCTCGCTCCGACTCGCGCTCTCCCGGGCAGGCTCCCCTCTCTGCAAGCCGGGACTTGCCGGCGACGTCCCTGAGGGCTCGCGGCAGTAACTCGAACACGCTGGAACCGACTCCTGCGAACCGGCTCCCTCCCTCGAGACGTTCCTCTCGGCCGGGGACGCGGTCTCCCCGAGCCGGGGGCGCCCGCGGGCCAGGTGCCGGGTCCTGCGCGCGGGGGAGCTCGCGCACGCTTTGATCCAACCAGGTCGACCAGGGGTTATTTCAGGCTATTTGGTCACACACCCCCGAACCCCCCCCGCCTCCAGGTAGGACCAGGAAACCACTCCCGCCCTTTGCCCAGACGCCTTCTGTCTTCACTTAGCGTTGCACTTTCTTAGTCTGCCCGAGTCCTTCTTGTTGCTGGGGGGAAACAGCTGGGGAGCAGGATTTTGTTTTGAGAGGAGTGGGGGTTGGGGGGGAGGTGAGCAGGGTAAAGGAACCTCTGCCCCCAAGGTGCCAATAAAAGCCCCGTAAGATTAGCTGGGAGCATATTTATTGCTCATCTGGGGTAGAATTACCTTGAGTGACAGCAATTTCTTTAATAACAAAAGCCTTCCAACAAGACGTCCTCCACCGGTGACCCCTGCGCTGTGCAGGCAGCGTCTTCTGTCTTGGGGTCCCCCTGGGCTGCCCCAGCCTGGCACCCACCTCGCCACCTCGTGCCCTCCCCCCGGGGGAGAATGCCTCCTCTGCTGGAGGCTGGGAGCCTGCTATTTAGAGATGTCTGTTGCGGGAAGCCTGGGAGGTGAGTCAGGAACAGGCAGCCCCAGTTAAAAGTGCTGATGGGACTTGCCTCCCACTGCCCCTGGGCTGCCAGGCCAGGAGGGGAGGGGATGAGCCAGGGAGCTACCCTGTAATCTGGGACAGTGGTTCTCCAGCGCCAGGCTTGTTCAGGCGAGGAAGCTGGGCCTCACCCCCAGACAGTCTGATTCAGCAGGGCTGGGTGCACCGGAATCCGTGTGTTCCACCTGGATCTGCCCAGGATCCGGTGTGAGAACTGCTTTCAGAAAGGCTGACGGGGGGGGGGGGGGGGGGGGGGGGGCCTGAACCCCCCCCCCCCCCCGCAAAGACCCTCTCCTTCTGGGGAGAGGTTCTGCAGGCCAGGGTCCTCCTTCCTGGGTGAATTGGGGAACTCATCTGGATGGCTACTGGAAGAACAGGAAAGGTTTGGATGCGTGGGGTTGGAGGAGAAATTCTCCTACACTGAGGGTTTACATTCTGACACTTAATCCTCTCATTGACCTTGCAGTGGGGGTGTTGTAGCGCGGTTTTCCTGGTTCCCCAGCCAGAAACTACAGGAGGGAGGGATTCAAATATGGACCTGATTTCTCTTCCCATCCACCCCACTGGGGCACAAGAGGGCGAGAGAGGTGGAGGAGGAGGCTCCCTCCGGTCTCCATTCAACCCTCCAAAAGTGTGACCAGAGGGAGGGCAGGCCGTTGCCTTCATCCCATTCCCAGATCAGGGCTGAAGATGGACTCCATCAAAGCGCCTGACCCTTCCCAACTTGGAGGTCTGTAAAAACGGAAAAGAAATCCCAACCTGAGAGAGACCGGCCCTTTCCACCCACCACGCCTGGTGTCAGCAGGCGTGCTAGTTAATTAGTCCCTGGGGAAGCCTGGAGCTGGAACACGGGAACTCAGCCCCAGTTGTCATCCGTTATCCTCGGAGCCGCCTAGTGGCCTGCCTGCGACACTGCACGTCCAAGCCGCCCCAGCCTCGGCCTCTGGTGTCCTGCTCACTTACCAGCTATTCTTTTTCCTTGAGACCTTTCTCTCACGTACGGGCAACAACCCAAGCCTAAAAGGGCCTACGAAGATCATAGCCCCACCTCGCCACACGCCTGCCGCTTTATGGAGGGGGAAACTGAGGCACAGAGATGTTAAGCAATTCATGAACACAGTGGCACGTTCACCTGTGTCCCCTGGTCCCCAACATGCGACCTGCCCCCTCCCGACGATGCCAGGGCAGCTGGGGGACCACTGCGTCCTGCCTACATTTCCCCTGGGTGTGTCTGGGATGGAAGGCAGGCAGCGGGCAGACAGGAGGTTGAGGACCCACATTGACCTTTAGGGTATCAGGCCCCTTGATACATATACTCATTCAAGAAATGAGCCAGTCTGGGGGCAGCTGGGTGGCTCAGTCGGTTAAGCAGCCAATGTGAGCTCAGGTCATGATCTCGCAGTTCATGAGTTTGAGCCCCACGTTGGGCTCTGTGCTGACAGCTCGGAGCCTGGAGCCTGCTTCGGATTCCGTGTTTCTGTCTCTCTCTGCCCCTCCCCTACTCATGCTCTGTATCTCTCTCTCTCAAAATTAAATTAAAAAAAAGGAAAGAAAGAAATGAGCCAGTCTGCAGAGGTGGGTGTCATCACAGAAACAGGCACAGCAAATCTAAGTGACTCACAGAAGGCCACATGGGATGGTCCCCTGTCCTCTCCCAGCCATCAGCTTTGGGGTGAAATCAGCATGCAAAGGAACAAGTCAGGTGATCCTAAAACGTGCTGGGTGTTGGCTTATGGCCTGGAAGCAGACACCTTTTTTCTACCTGTTCCACCTTCAGGATGTGGACTTTGTGAGCCTGGCGGTCCAAGAAGATGAGGTTGAAAGGGCACTGGGCTGGGATGTGTCCAGTCCAGCTGGCGGGCCCAGAGGGTCCCTGTGGCTTGGCTTTAGTGAGAAATGCATGAGACAGGACCCCTTCCTGTCTCCCCCGCCCCTTGTCCTTTGCTCTTGGTACCCCTCCTCCCTTAGTTTCCTTGGGGACAGTAGGTGTGGGGAATTTAACTTTAGGGCGAAGTTTGAAATTTCACATCCCAGCCCAGGGAGAGGGCCCCACAGTGCCTCCCCTCCATCACCCACCAAAAAAAAAAAAAAGTGAAAGGAGCCTTTGTGGGTTGGATGGAATGGGGGGTGAGCTGTCGCCTGGAGAACTAACTTTTTCCATGACTCAGCTCTCCTGGCACAGGGCAGGCACGGAGGTACAGAGACCCGGCAGGGCAGTTGGGGACCCGCCTCCCAGCCCAGCGCCAGCCGGTGTCAGGGTTAGCGGTGGGCCCCCGGGAGAGCCTATCAGCAGCAGAACTTGTTGGCTTTGGATAGGCCACCGGGCTGTAACCGTCTCCCCCTCTCACCGCCCACTGGGTCCCCTATTTTTTACTTAGCATCACAGCCCCAGCCCCAAGCACATGAACGCTCATGGATCTTTCTTTATCACCAGCTCAGAGAGGTTAAGAAAGTCCCCCAAGATCACAAGCTAAGAGATGAAGATGGGGCTGGAATCCTCGTCGAACGCTCTAAGTTCTGTCTGCTTTACCCATGGATGTCCCTCAGACAGGACATCCCTGGGTATGGGATTCCCTGGGGCGCTGGTCAAATACAGATTCCTGGGCTTCCAGCCTAGATGAGGAGGGTTGGGGCCCACGAAGGTGCATGCAGGCCAGGCAGGAGATCGTTGGGTGCCCAAAGTTTGAGAACCTTCCAGTGCTGTCTCTCTGTGGCCCCTCGGCACTTTCTCACAGCCCCCGCATGAAGGTTTCCCTGCCTCTTCCACCGCCGTGCAAGCCCTTCCCTCCTTGGCACTTACGCTGTATCATGGCGCTGTGCCCTCACTCACGGACTGTTCTGGGTTCTTGTCAGCTCTAGAAACCTAACGGGGGGAGAAAACAGAAGCTAGAGGAACAGACGTGCTCTCACTCACCTATTCAGTCCATCCACCAGCCAGCCAACCATCATGGAGTCCCTTACCTGGGCTGCTCCTGCCAGGGCCGGAGGTGGGGCAGGATGGGTCAGAGAGGAGCAGCTTGGGTTCCAGTCCCAGCTCCGCCATCGCCATCGCCCCCATCTCCAGCTTCCTCGTTCCACCAGGGTGGATGATGACCAGGAGAGAATTAGGTACTCCTAAAACCCCCCACCGGGAGCTCGGTGAGTGCCAGCGTTTGTTGTCATGGGGGCAGGGTCCTTGTTCGACAGGGCCTTGTAACCTTGCTAAGGAGCCGGTCTGGCCACATGCGGAGAAATGTTTTGTGGGGTTGCTGGACTGCCCCAGAGCAGGGCTTCCGGAATTATCTCACCAGGCTGGGTACTTCCTCATGTCACCCTGTTACCTTCCACTCCCATAGCTGCCAACACACTTTCTCCAGGACCTTTTCTCTCTGGCCAAGTCAACTACCTATCTACCTTGCAATGTGTCCTTTAGCTCACGTGCTATTTCTTTTTTTTTCCGGGTTATTCTTCCTAGCTGCCCCTGAATCCCCAGTGCCCTTGCCTTAACCAGGACCCCGCTCCCCCCCCACACACACGTGTTTTCCTCCCTCCCAGTACCTGCACTATACCTGACTCTCACACCAGCCTGGGAGCTTCTCAGGAGTGGAGGCTGGACCGCCTTGGGCGTGTGGCCCATGCAGTGGCACGGGGCCCCCATTGCGGTTAATGATCTGCTGTCACCATCTTGAAACTGGTAATTAAAAAACAAAAGTTGATTTATTTATTTATTTTTTATTATTATTTTAAATGTTTATTTATTTTTGAGAGAGTCACAGAGTGAGAGCAGGGGAGGGGCAGAGAGAGAGGGAGACACAGAATCTGAAGCAGGCTCCAGGCTCTGAGCTGCCAGCACAGAACCCGACGTGGGGCTCGAACTCACAAACTGTGAAGTCATGCCCTGAGCCGAAGTCGGATGCGTAACCGACTGAGCCCCCCAGGCTCCCCAAAAAATGTTGATGTATTTTTGAGAGAGAGAAGACAGGGGAGGGACAGAGAGAGGTGAAGATAGAAAATTTGAGGCGGGCTCTGCACTGACAGCACAGAGCCCGATGTGGGGCTCCAACTCACAAACTAGAGATCATGACGTGAGGGGAATTCGGACGCTCAACCGACTGAGCCACCCAGGCGTCCTGAAACTGGTCATTTTTTAACTTGTGT